AAATGCATGTGGTCCTCTCCTATCTTAAACAACCCACATTGGTCCTGCTGGCTTCTCTATTGACAGTAAACCTCTCACCTTTTTTCACAGGAATATTCTGTACTCCATGTGTTCAATCCATTGATATGTTGAAATCTCAAAATTCTCTCTTTTTTTTTTTTCAAAGTTAGTTGCTTTTATCATGCCATCTTGTCTTTAGAAATCTGTATCAGATGCTAGGATAGAAAGACATACTTTCTTTCCTTCTCTCTGTCTCTTTTTAATGTTCATTTGTTTATTTATGGATTCAGTTCCTAGTTATGAGTGAGAACATGGGGTATTTCTCTTTCTGTCCCTGGGTTGTTTTACTTAGAATAATTTTCACTAGGCTCGTACACATTGCTGCAAATGGTAGAATTCCGTTCTCTCTTATGGCTGAGTAGTATTCCGTTGTGTATTGTGATGAATAAGCTAATTATACTGATCTAAACACCACACATTGTACACAATTATTGGAACAATGTTGGACCCCACATGTATGTACAATAAAAAAGAAAGAAAGAAAAACATTCTTTCTCTCTGAGTTTTATCTAACTTCTCTTTCAATGTATTGAGTCCTATTTTCGTTATCTAACTCATAATATCTTTGCTCTTGAAATTCAAAAATGTTAACAGGCCAAATGGTATTTTGAATTCTTTGGCATAACATGAAACAGTCTTTTTTGATCAGGTAAGGGAAGTATTCTAAAGTCAGGAATATTTTCCTTTAATTTTAATTATTATTTTCTTCTGTCTGCTTTGATTCTTTTTTCTGGACTTATATAACCACATATTTGGTCTGTAGAATGTATTAACATATTCCCCATTTATTCCTTTTACCTTTGCATGTAATATTTGGTCCTTCACGTGGCTTCTCTAAGTTCTGGTATATTTCCTTCAGGCAATCTTCTAAGTCAGTAATTTGATTTTTTGTAGTATTCAATATATTTTTCAATATTTCTATCATATTTTATGTTTTGGATTTTGTATTTGCCAGTAAGTTTTTTTTAATAACTACTATCTTCATGAATATCACTGAAGTATTAAATAAGAAACATTTTGGGTAATTTTTATATTAGAGTTCCTCTGTTTCATGAGGAAGCACTTATTTTTAATCCCCAAATCTCTATGTCTCTGTCTCTGTCTCTATCTTGTTCTTTAATTACAACTAATTATTGCACCATGTATTTGACAAAGTTAACGGCCTTAAAATATAAAATGTAGGGGAAGGCTAAAGTGATTTTTTTTAAAGGCAATCTGTGCATGTGTATGTCATATATGTGGGTGAGAGAGAGAGAGGGAGAAAGAGAGAGAATGTTTATGGACATATTAAAAAAATAAATAAATAAAAAGAGAACAATGTGCCAAAGATCTAGACGCTCATAGCAAATATGGGAACATCTGATTGCTGTTGTGCTGAGAAGTAGTATATTTTTGTTTTTGTTTTAGCAGCCTGAGGCTATCTGGTACTTCGTCACTTCTCAAGCTTGAGTAGCTCACATTTACTTTCCAGGCCTTCTCTGATCATAGCTGAGCAGACATCCCCATTGATAGGTGGCAAGTCCCATATGTACTTTGATTTCCTTCTCTCTCCAGAGTTCCCCAGAAGACCATAACTCTCAGCATCTGATTCTCCAAATTTTGATTATTTTTATCCATGGTTTATGTGTAAAATTCCAACCAGTTAATTTTTAGGTACTCCTCTCCTAGTTCCTTGTCCTACATCCAGCACATAAGTACTTCCCTCAGTTAGATCTCATGCTCTCATGCTTGAGGAAATGTTTCAACTTTGGGCATCAACTGAGGGCACTCTTTTTTTCCCAGGACTTATAATGGTTTGATTTTACTTGTGTGTGTGTGTATGTGTGTGTGTGTGTGTGTGTGTGTGTGTGTGTGTGTGTGTGTGTGTGTGTGT